GCTAGTTGTAGAACTTGAATAATGATTTGATAATTAGCATGCATAGGATGGTAGCTAGACTTGTATTTTTACATGTGGTATTAGAAACTTGATTATAATGTTGATCTCATGGGGTTTCTAGTATTTTTGTTGTCTAGCTACTCATGGTGCTAAGGATGGTGTTAAAAGTGCAACTCCAATTGATATCACACTTTAAAGGTTTATTCTATACACCTTAGCATCATTTGGTAGTAATTACTCTCCCACAATTTTAATCTATGCATATGTGCGAGCTTCAAACCAAACACTCTAGCACATATGTAGGGGAAGCTAATACTACCATTTTGGGTTTGTGGTACTTGTCCAAAATCATTTACACATGGTAAAATTGCTTGGGCAAGCAACATGAATCCAAAAGAGCTTAATTTTCATATCTTTGTAGAGTTGTCATCAATTACCAAAAAGGAGAAGATTGAAAGGTCCTTGTGTGGTTTTGGTAATTGAGTGACAACCTAGGTGGACTAATTGTGTTTATGTGAGATACACAGGTGATTAGTCCATAGGTACATATGTGTGAGCAACATATGACATGAAGGTGAAAATGGCTTAGAGATATTGCAAAGCTCACACATGTGATGATGAAGGAGCTTATTGCACATGAGACATGACATTGAGTCATGTGATCAAGGTGGAGAAGATCAAGACAAGACTTGGCTTGATGAACCGGTTGCAAGCGTGAAGGGCAAGTCGGAGGCTTTGGAGTGATGGACCGCGTGGCGGTGAAGCTTGAGCAAGACTTGACGCCGATGCACGAAGGCAACGGTGAAAAGCAAGTGAAGTCAAGATCGATGAACCAATATGATCACATCATGATATGAAGTGGATCATATCATTGTTGATCATGTTGGTGCATGTGTTGCATCGACATTGGAGGAGATGGAATAGAATGCACAAGGCAAAGGTATAACCTAGGGCATTTAATTTCATCGGTCATAGGTGTGTAGAGAAGTTGATGACCGGGTTTAGGATAGATGGTCGTACTATCAAGAGGGGCAAACTTGTTTGCATATCGGTCATCAAATGCCACTCGAGTGATCTAACTTTGCATCATCGCTAGGATCGAGTGGCGTGGCAAGTTGAGTGGCTAATCCTTTGAAAAATATTTGTGAAAAGCTAACACACATACACTTAGTGGTGTTGGCACATTTGCAAAGGAGAAGAAGTTGGAGTTGATGAGGATCAACTCGGTGAAGAAATAGAGGCGAGAAAGTGTCACTGTGAGTGACCGGACACTGGCCTCGGCAGGACCGGCGCGTCCGGTCAGTGGCAGCAGAGAGCGCGCAGGCGTTGGTCTTCAATCGGACGCTGGGCGAAGAAGTGACCGATGCGCAGGGCCTGTGTTTCGGCCATGTGTGACGTATGGTGATGTAGCGCGGGCAGCTGAGTCTGCGAGGACCTAACGCTCGGCTGCGTCCACGTCCGGTCACAAAATAGAGGCTCAGGGAGCTCTCTAGAAATGACCGGACTCGGGCATAGCAGTGTCCGGTCATCCTCACTGTACCGCGTCCAGTCATCACTTGACCGTTGGCGCGCGGCAGTCGACCGTTGAAACCAAGCGACTAAGGTTGAACGGAGGCGACACTAGAGTTGGCGCTGCGCGGGCACAGAGCTGATCGGACGTTAGTCTATGTCCGGTCGCAAAATAGAGGCTCGGAGAGCTCTCTAAAAACGACCGGACTCAGGCGTAGCAGCGTCCGGTCATCCTCGCGGTGCGTCCAGTCACAACTTAATCGTTGGGATTGGGCGCTCAGCATTTGAAGCCAGGGATGATGTGGCAGCCATCCATTGATCGGATGCTGGCAGGGTGCGTCCGGTCGATTCGACCGGCGTGTCCGGTCGCTACGATTTTTACCCAGTGAAGGGGTAACGGCTATTTTAGCCCATGGGGCTATAAATAGAAGGGGGTCTCGGCCATGGCTGAGATAGAGCACCTTGGGGGACTTTGTGTCCATGCTTGAGAGTGCTTAGGAGCCCTCCATCTCACATATGCTTGATAGTGATCATCCGATTGTGTGAGAGAGCGATTCTAATGCGATTGCATCGTGAGGTTGCATCGAGTGGCACTAGGTGATCGAGATGCAAGCCGGTGGTGCTTGTTACTCTTGGTGGTTGCCACCTCCTAGATGGCTTGGTGGTGGTCTCCGTCGAAGCCCATAAGAAGCTTGTGCGGTGCTCCAAAGAAGCTTGTGAAGCTTTGTGAGGGGCATTGTGCTCGCTCCGCAGGAGCCGCGAAGAGCAACTCTAGTAGAGCGAGACGCGAAGGGCGACAAGTGGTCCGTCCGGGTCAAGTGCTAGAGCTTGTGGTAAGCACTCCATGTGGGAGAGTGTGACTTGCGGGTCACCACTAGCAAGAAGACCGGTGGCAACCATGGAGCTTGTCTCAACGGGGATGTAGCGTGTTGGTAAGCACGTTAACCTCAAGAGAAAAATCACCGTGTCAACATTGTTCTTCCCGTTGGTTTGCAATCCCCTTACACAAGCTTGTAATTAGTTTTATATACATTGTGCTTGTGTAGTTGCTCTTGTAATTAGTTAGCTTGTGTAGCTCATTAGTTACATTCTTGCTTGTATAGCATAGAAATAGCTCCCTTTCGTGGCTAATTTGGTTTGTGTAACCTTGTTAGTCACAATGCTTAGTTTGTGTAACTAAGTATTTGCGCTCTCTAATTTGGCATTGGTTGCCTTGTTATTGAGCATTGCTAGTGAGCTTGGGAGCTTTGTGCTTTTGCTTACTAGAATTGTGTAGGAGCTCTCCGGTGTGCAAAATACTAGTGGCATAGGTTTGTGTGACCTTGCTCCTAGAATTAGATATGTGAGCTCTAGCTAGCCCGGCACCTTTGTTGGCTAATTAGGATCTTTATAAGGTGCTTGTGAACTTTGATAAAGGGGTGTAGTCTTGCTAGACCGATTGTTTTTAATTCCGCATTTATTTCGGTTAGCCGACGCGATTAAATTTAGAAAGGACTATTCACCCCCCATCTAGTCCGACCTTTCACAAGGGTAAATAACAAGCCCACGACGACATCGTAGTACCCGGCAGAAACAACAATAACATGTCTTGATGATTTGGAAGCTTTATCGAGGTTCAAAGTGCTTATTGACCTTAATCGCACTCTAGGTGGATGAGTTATGGCCTTTCTAAAGAAGTACTGTTATGCTGCCAGCGAACCGAATGTTGTGCTTTGATAGTGTTGCCCATCAAGATGGGTCTTAAGCATGGTGTATCCACGTCCCATGAGTTATAGAGGACACATAAGAAAAGGTTCCAAGATTCATAGCATCATTATTATCATTGTTCCTAATAACATTAAATGTAATGATATTAGGTAGCAATAAATTCTTACTTAGGAAGAAGCTCACCCTGTGTTTAACTTTCATGGACGTTGTCATGTCATTAGAATCTCATTCTTTAATGAAAAATATGACTCGGTAATCTGCGGGGCTCTTGTTCGTTCTCTGCACAGCCACGAGGGTGGAGAACAAAGGTTGCCCACAGGAAAAGAAATCACAAACATGATCACAGAGGAACAACGTTTAGATTGAAGTGAAGTAAATGGCACTGGATGAGTTAATCCGTCTCAATAGTTCTAGCGCTCCAATATTTATAGTCGATACTGGAGTGCGGCGCATGCAAGGACACGGGGACTTAGGAGGGAATATTCTCAGTACAACAAAGAATATTTTGGTCTTCTCCTACTCTGGACCCAACCACTCTCCTGACATTATGGGGCCTTCCTTCCCGCGGTGCCTTTGCCTGGCTGCACTCTGAAGGCCACCCTCGCTGGTCTTGGACGATAACCAGAAAGAGTGGCGGCGAAGGTGCTTTAGCTACGCGACCACGCAAAACAAACCTTAGAGCAACCACAATGTTGGCAATAAGCAGTCCATAGGGAATTAAATATTCACTACTAGCTACCTGATACATTGTGAGACCGGTCCATAGCAAAGAAATAGCAACAGGTAACCGTAGCACTATGGCCAGCCCACAAGACAATAAAAAAGTACAAAGTGCACTGTACATCTAACAGATACATTAAAGAAACATGTAGCCGTTGGCTTGCAGGTAGCCATTGGCCCTCTTCCACCTCCGTGTGTCTCTCCACACCGTCTCTGTCCACACACCACATTTGCTGAACTCCATCCTCTGCCTACAAAAGTGGATGACCTTGCTGCACAATTCACAACAACTAAGATTGAGGTCTAGAACACTAGTAGTTTCAATGGAACCCAACCCTAGAAGCTTTTCAAACCTCCTGAATCAGGACTCTCCATCCCAGTACTCTTCAGAGGGTAGTGGCCAAATCTCACCTCCTACACCCTAATCCCAGTTTCCCTTTGGAACATCCAATTTTCTATAGAACCTCAATCATTTTGGTCCTCCAGGAATCCACCCACCATATGGCCATTCTCCTCCTAGATTTCAAGGTGTTCAACATCAAGGGAGTTAGCTACAAGCCCCACCACTGAGCTTTCAAGGATTTCATCTGCATGAAAGTTTTAGTCCTTTGGGTGCACCTGCAGTCAATAGGCCTCCACCAGTGCTGCAATTTGGCCATTTGGGCGGAGCTGCAGCCAACACTTCTTCCCATAGATCCGAGTCTAGTTCTCGATGCTCTGCACAACAAGAGAAGCAATCAGTGAACATTGAAGAGTTAAGTGATAGCAGTGAAGAAGAACCAAAGAGGCATCAACGCATCAACTAGAGTGAAGAAGAAAATGACCGGCTATTCAGTGCATGGACACATCACTCCACTGATCCCGTAATCGACAACGACAGGAAATTTGAGTACTATTGGAAAGTGTTGCTGTTGAGTTCAATGACAATGCGCCAAAAAATAGCCACAAGAGGTCAGTCAAACAATTGAAGACACATTGGGGTGATGTGAAGAGGGATATCATAAAGTTCAGTGGGGCTTATGCTCGAGCTATAAGTGCACACAAGCGGTGGCCAATCTGATGACATGGTCCTAAAAATAGCCCATGAGTGGTTCAAGGGGCAAAACAAAGATAAGTCTTTCATATATGGGTATCTGTGGAAAGTGTCCAAGGAGATGCCCAAATGGCGTAGAATCATCCAAGAGGAGAGCACAACAAAAAGGACCAAGCTATCTAACTCAGGAGCGTACACTTCTTCATCCAACCAAGACACAGAGGGGGAAACCATAAGTAAAGAGGAACGTCCTGAGGGGCAGAAGAAAGCGAAGGCAAGGATCAAAGGGTCAGGAAAATCTGCTGCACCAACTCCTTTGAGCAACCAACCAAGTCAGAATATGGTTATGTATCATGAAGCTTTGTCAATGAAAGCAAAAACAGCAAGGGACAAAAAGTATAAAACCTATTTAAAACTGTTGGCAGTAGATACCTCAAACTTCAATGAAAAAGAAAAAAAATAGGCATGACAACATACTGGACTAGATAGCAAAAGACTTGGCTGAGTAGAAAAGCAGCAAGAGATGCATGTATCCCTAATATTTAGTGTAATTGTTGTTTTCAAGTGTTGTTAGTGTATCTGTATGTTAGTTCAAGTATTAGGTTGCATGTCTGTACCCCTAGTATTTAGTGTAATTGTTATTTTTCTTAGTGTTGGCAGTGTAATTGTTATTTTTCTTAGTGTTGTCAATGAAAGCAAATATAGCTGTTGAGGTCATGCCAAAAGCTGCATATGGCTGTTGAGAAAAAGACAAAAAAATAGCTGTTGCATAGAAGGTGATCACAACATACTATTTGCTAAATATTTTTCAGATACTCCCTTATACATAGATAATCAGTTTCGTAGAAGATTTCGCATGAGGAAGCATTTATTTCTGTGCATAGTCGAAGCTCTAGGTGTTTGGTCTCCATATTTCCGTCTACGTCGAGATGCATTTAGCAAAGTGGGTCTATCACCATTATAGAAATGTACTGCTGTCATTAGAATGTTGGCATATGGTTCACCAGCAGATCTTATGGATGAAATATTCGATGTTGCTGAGAGTACAGCAATGGAGTGTTTGATTCATTTTGTTCATGGTGTTAGATGCCTATTCGGTGAGCAATATCTACGCAAGCCTACTAGTCAAGACATCAAACACTTACTACAAGTTGCAGACCAGCGTGGTTTCCCTGGGATGTTGGGTAGTCTTGATTGTATGCATTGGGAGTGGTAGAATTGCCTGGTTGCTTGAAAGGACAATTCACTCAAGGTGATTATAAGGCACCTACCATAATGCTAGAGGCTGTTGCATCTTATGACCTATGGGTTTGGAATGCATTTTTTGGAGCTGCTGGTTCGAACAATGATCTTAATGTGCTTGACCAGTCACCGTTATTCACAGAACAGCTACGAGGCAAAGCACCTAAGGTTCAATTCACTGTTAATGGGTCACAATACAGCATGGGTTACTATCTAGCTGACGGTATCTATCCAGAATGGGCCACGTTTGTCAAGACAATCAACAGACCACTAAGTGCTAAGCATAAATTGTTTGCAAGCTTTCAAGAAGGAGAAAGAAAAACTATGGAACGAGCTTTCGGGGTGTTGCAAAAGCATTGGGCTATCATACGTCACCCAGCTAGACTCTGGGAACGAGAAGAGCTCGCCAATATTATGTATGCATGTGTTATTTTGCACAACATGATAATAGAGGATGAGAGAGGCATCAATGACATACCAGATGATAACACATACGAGCAAGCGCAATCTTCCCCAAATTTAACCGGGCTTGCACATGGACCAATCTATGGATTCACAAATGTACTAGACAAAGACACGGAAATTGCAAATCGATCAACTCACATTCATCTCAAGGAAGATTTGATAGAGCATATTTGGCAAAAATTCAATACACAGCAGCATGAAGCAGACCAAGAGTAGAGTCTCATCCATGTAATTTTAGGACTGTGTGTTTCCCTTTAAATGCTTTGTAATCGTATCTAAAGTACACAACAACATTAATTTAGGATTGTGTGTTTCCCTTCAAATGCTTTGTAATCGGTATCTAAAGTAAGGCAATTGTACTTTCTTTGTTTCATTGTTCTCAGTTTACAAAAGAACTAGAAGTACTATCTTGAACCAACTGTAGTTTATTTGGCTAAGATTCTGGTTTTGTCCAACTAAAAACTAAAGTAGTAACATAGAAGAGAATGGATGTAGAGATACCTGCTGAGCTACAGAGGCACAGAGAGGGCGAGGTCTTCAGCTTGGGAGTCCCCCGTGATGTCAATGCCTATGGAGTCCGTGCGACCCGGCCGTCCGCGTGCCTGGCGTGGAGGCTTGTCCAGGTGGCCATGCCGGGGGTCCGCGCGCCATGCGAGGTTGCCGTGCGGGGCGTTCGCGGCCAGGTCGCCGCGCCGGGCGTCCGCGGCTAGGTCACTACCAGATCTGAGAGCCACCTGAGGTCGCGTCCTCTAGAGTCCGTGCGACCCGGCCGTCCGAGTGCCTGGTGTGGAGGTTGCCACGCCAAGCGTCCATGGCCAGGTCGCCGCCCGATCTGAGAGCCCGTGAAGGCGCCGCCTCTGGAGTCCGCACGCCACGGCAGGGCACTGCTCGATCTGAGGTCGTAGGCATCAGGTCAGGGAAGTTGGGGATCTTAGTACAAGCAATACTTGAGGAGGTAGACACAAAAGGCCGTGGTCGGATTTGGCGGAAGGAGTGAGATCGGGGACGGAGAAGACGGCGCCGGCGGCGGCGACGGATAGGTTACGCGGATGGAGTCTTCATCCACTCGCGCGAACGATACGGGAGGTTGAGGGCCGAGATTTTTTTTACCGTGGGACCCACTCATATAGACCGGTTCGGCTGGATACACTGTGGCTTGTAATTTAACTACTGCCACTGCTGTGAGCCCCACTCCTATGGACTACTTTGGCTAGATACATTGCGCTTGCTTATTTTCTGCCAATCATGTGGAGGAAGGGACAAGTGAGTGAGGTGCAGACGGGAAAGGGGCGTCATGTCGAGGGTACCACCCCAACACAATCTTTCCTCCATAGAATTCAGTCTCTTTCGACACACTCCCTCCGTTCCGTTTTTACAAGGCGATGATTAAAATGATACAGTCTCCTATATTTCATTTAGATCATTTATTTATATTATATTATTTATTATATTTATAAAATTATGATTATTGGATACAATTACTTAGAAATCTAATTGTATCAAGTTATATTATAATAGTTATAAATTGTTAGCTGTATTATTGATCAAAGTTTAAAAAATTTAAATCTTGATACGTGTGTCTTCTAAAAAGGAACAAAGATAGTATTTTTTTTAAACTGGGAGTAGGTACGAGTCATGGGGCTTTGGTCTATATGTAAAGTTGAGCTAATATATGGTGCATGCAGGCAACCTTCCCTCTGTTCTACACTTTTTCGCCCCGCCATTTGGTTCTTTATGCTCGTTCATTGAATTATTGTGAGAAAATATCGCTTTACCTGAAAAAACAAGCCAAATAAGCCAAATTTAAGACAAGACTCTTGCAGATCAGGCGATCACAATTGGCACACACACGTTTGTAGTAAGCCTATAATAACATGAAATCGTTACTTTTGACACTAACTGATTAAACTTTATGCACGTTCGGTACAGTGAAAACTTGTAACTTCTGTTATTTTGACAACAAAACTGAATATTCCAATCGAACGGCAATTCCTCCACTACGACTGTCTCCAACAGGAGACGCATAAGAGCACCCAAATGTAAAATGGATCTTTGATAGTAGTGTATCGGTCTCTAACAGATTATCTATATAGGAGATTTATTTTGGGTGCCAGGAGAGGCACGATCTAAATATGAATATCCTCTTTCCTGAAGACCTATTTATAGAAAGGGTTTTCTTTTGAATCTTGTCGTTGGAGAAGAAAAAAATAAGTATTAAAACATTTGTCTACCCAAACCTAAAATAGGACTTGTATTTGGGTTTTCTTCGTCGGAGATAGTCTAATGACGCAGCCAGAATAAGTAGGCCATTCATGCTTCCATTGACTACTTCCAAAATCAGCTGAGAATCGAATAAAGTGTGGCTATCAAATTCTTCAGAATCCACTGCCACTGCAGGGGTTCGCAGCGGCGGAAAAGGGGAAAGCACTGCCACTGCAGGGATAGCAGCATCCCGGCATGATTGATGCCACGGCAAGTCGGCAACCATGCTCGCCTCCTCGGAACACCATTCAGCCACATTGCGGCCCAGGGGAAAGCACGGCCGCACCCGATCCGGCCGCCTCGGGGCTCGCCCCCCGCCCCCGCCCGCCATTTCCCGGGCTTTTCTCTCTCCTTGTCGTCCGCCTCTCCATGGCCCCATCCCTCCGACCCTCCCGGCCCCGCGCCCGCTCCACGGAGCGCTCCTCCCCAAACCCCTACAGGGCCCACCCGTCTTAGTCCCTCCAGAGGGCCATAAACCTCCCAGCCCACCGTACTGTCAACTACCCCCTTCAATTCCTCCGTGCGCGCCGCGCCGTTGCAGCAGCAGAATCTGCCGCCCCACCCCACGCATGGATCGCGCCACGCCGCGCGCTCGCGGCCGCCGCGGCGTATCCCAAGCGGCGGTGGAAGCGGCGCCGTCCTCCTCCCGCGCGCGCCGCCGCGATAGGGCGCCCGTCGTTGTCATCGACCTCGGCGACGACGAAGACGAGGACTGCGGCGGTGGTGGCGGGGCCAGGAAGACGGTGGGTGGCGCTGCAGGCAGGCGCGGGGGCTCCACGGAGGTTCCTCCGCCTCCGCCGCCGATGATGGTGCCGGCGGGAGCGGTGGCGATGCGGACACGATCGAGGAGGCGGGCGATGCAGGCGGCGGCCGTGGCGGAGGAGGCGCCGACGACGAAGAGGAGGAAGAGAGGAGCGACCCCAGATGCCGCGGAGGCGTCCCGTGGCCGGGGGAGCAAGGCCGCTGCGGCCTCCAGGGCGACGTCGAGGGATAAGCGGCGCGCTGGGGCCTCGAGGTCGACGTCGAGAGATAAGCGGCGCGCGCGCTCGGGACGAGCCTCGGAGCGAGCTCGCGCGGGCCGCGCGCGCAAGCGCAAAGGCAACGAGTCGGGGGCGGAAACAGAGGTGGAGGCCCCCGCTCGGAGGGAACGTGCGAAGGCGCCATGTGTCAGTGAAAGTGATGACAACGGCGGGCGAGGCGATGACGCTTCTGATGACAGGAACGCGGAGCCTCGCGCCGGGGTCGCCATTGGCGCTGCTGATCTGGTTAACGGGGATCGTCGGATAGCTAAAGCTGAGGATCATATCGAGGAGCATGACGGAGACCAGGAGAACAGTGCTGTGAATTTGAATGATGACTTGGTCTCAGGTGATGCAGGGGCAGTGGAAGGTGCTGGTGATGAGGACACAAGAGGGAACAGTGGCCTGGCATCGACTGCTGATGTGGTTGCTGAGGAGATGGCACCCTTTGAAGATGATTACGATGATGAGATGTTGGAGGAGCAGCTTGTTGGAGATGTGATCCGTGCTTACAGTAATGGCAGAAACTTTGATGCAGATGGAGTGGATTGGGAGGCAGAGGATGAGATGGAGTTCGATGATGATGCTGACAATAGTGATTTTATGGATGATGCTCACGATAGTGATTTTGTGAATGATGCTGATGAAGGTGGCAAGTCCGGTGATGATGCTGACAATAGTGATTTTATGGATGATGCTCACGATAGTGATTTTGTGAATGATGCTGATGAAGGTGGCAAATCTGAACCAATGCAAAATCATGCTAAGATGGAAATACAAGACTTGGTGAACCAGAAAGTTGTTTCGGGTGGAGGGGGGTGTGAGGAGGAGGGGGGCGAGGGGGGTCAGGAGGAAGAGTTGGGTGTGAGAAAGGAAGCAGATAAGGAGGACGTGGAACCAAAGAGTGAAGCAGCTCCAGGTTCTGATCAAGGGGGCTTGCACTCAGAAATTCTGGGCTCTGATGAGGAAATCAAGGTGCTTGAAAATATGAGTAGTGCCCTCTCCAGGAAGGTGTCAGTTCAATCGAAGTTACCAACTATTCCATCTTGTGTTGCATGGAGGACTCGATCCTCATGGGGGATAAATCAAGATAGACTATCATACAATACGTATTTTGAGGCATTATCTGATGAGCCGAAAGAGGATGATGATGATACAGAGGTGGAACTTGATGAAGATGAGGATGACAACAATGACGACGACAGTAGTGACACTTATGATAAAGATGACGAAGAGAAGGAGGAAGAGGAAGAGGAAGAAGAGGCTGAAAGGAGAAAACTCAATAACGGGATTTACACATCAGATGATGACATGATCAATATTACCGTTCCTACCTCAAGGTATGATATGTTCGAGAAAAAAAATACCTCAAGATATGATATGTTCGAGAGAAAAAATACCTCAAGATATGATGTGTTCGAGAAAAACAATACCTCAAGATATGATATGTTCGAGAAAAAAAATACCTCAAGATATGATATTGAGTGGGTGGAGGATGAAGATGAAGATGCAAATGTTGATATGTTACAGCCAATCTCCTTTAAGAAAGAAAGCTGCTGGAACCCTGTGGCTGTTGGCAATGACACATTTACTGAGCAACAAAAGCAATCACGATTTACTTGGGAGCTTGAGAGGAGGAAAAAGCATAAGCTTGGGATGAAGACAAATCCTTTGTATGAACGGGATTTGAACTCAGATTCGAACTCATCAGGTTCTGACCAGATCAGAAAGTATGGCTTCAAACGTGATGGGAGTCATAAAGTTGATAGGAAAAAGAAGCATACATCGTCCAAATCGGGCAAGAAATCCAGCAGTGCAATCATGCTAAAGCGGCAGTCTCTTCTGAAGCTTTTGGTAGATAAAATGAGTGGCGATAAAAGTTTAGAATCTTTTCCATTTGATCAGAATCCTCAGCTCCATTTTATTTTCAAAGAAATGCATCCGTTGGTATTTTCATTTGGAGATGAAGATCTAGTAGCAGCTGACAGGCCAGAACAAGATGTTGGATTGGATATGTTATGGGCTGACTTTGACTTTGCTTTAGAGTCTGAGAATATCGGCACTTATTATGATGATGAGGTACATTTAAATATTTGCAGATGTGTGGTACTGGTTTTCATTTTCTTTTTATCGATCAAAACACATGCAGATTTAAATGTGTGGCTTATTTATTTGAACACTGACTCTACAACTAGAATTATGATAAAATTAACAATGTCCAACTGGAGATGCACTATCATGCTATTCTCAGCAAAACGATTGTCACTGGCCACAAACGCAAAAAGTTTGATTTGATTACAAGCACATCCTAGGAAAAATAGAGAAACAATCTCGATCAAACAAAAAAAAAAAAACTCCCACTATTCACCGTCTGGCACAAGGGCAAAGATGTAGGAGATGCCCCTTGCTCTGGTCAAACCCCAATCATGCAACTCCTCTCTAGCGAGCAGAAGAACTCCAGCCATTTTAGGAGATGCACCATCAAACACATATCGTCTTTGATGTTTCCAAATTGCCCATGCTCCAAGGGTGATGATAGAATTAAGCCCATTTTGGTCCTCACTTTCGAAGGACCTTTTGAGTCCTCACCATCAACCCTTGTTTCTCCCCTTGCCCATCATTCATCAAAGGAAACATCATCTGGCTGTGGAGGACCTGCAGGCTGCAGCAGGCTAAACCAGAATTCTCATGCAAAAACACACAAGGTGAGCAGGTGGTTGATCATCTCAGCTTGATCACAAAGAGCGCAGCAGGCAGGGTGCAGAAGACTCATCGTGCAAGCTGTTCGGCGGTCCATTACCTATTAGGCTATTATGAGTAAGTAACCACAAAAAGAACTGACACTTTCCTGGAGCCCAAGATTACAGATTCTTTCCCAAGGCCCAAGAGTACAGCACCCTGAAATAAACCCTTATAAACTGACTTGCCTCAATCATCTACATCTATCACTAACATATCTAACAAGAGAAGAAATAAACCATTTGAACTCTCTTTGATAGTGCAACACTTCTGTGAACAATATGTGCATGTGACACTCAACCTATAAAATATAGCCTTGTTTTCTCATAATGCATATATGTTTGGTGTTTGTTAAGGACCTCACACTGCTGTCATGTCCATAAAGAAATCACAGGAATCAGAAATCCTTCTTCAGGAACACTATTGAAGCTAGAACCTAGAAATGTACACAAAAAACTATTAGGGTGTGGAAAGCATTCTCTCTGCATTTTCTTCAGTTTGATCTGGCTGAATTGTTTCTCAGAGCATGTCTATGTCAGATAGTTTGCAGCTAACATGCAGGAAACATCATTTGTCAGAACAGAGTAACTTAGTAAACATTAGAAATGCTTTTTGCAGGTCAAGAAATCTAGTTCACTTAAAGGAGTTATTACTTATTAGACAATAGTTTATAACTGTAACTTTAAGGGGCGATTCAGGTAGCCTTGAAGGTCAAGAGAACTTTATTATGGACTGTGGGCATGGAAATCCTGAATTCGGCAAACATCGTCCTCCTACCAAAAAAAGCGGAGTCCTTAAGGATCACTGATTTCAGGCCCATCAGCCTTATTCATAGCATCGCCAAAATCTTCTCCAAATTATTGGCCAACAGACTTGCCCCACATTTGAACTCCCTTGTCTCCAACTGTCAAAGTGCGTTCATTAAAAAAAGAAGCATCCATAACAACTTCCTCTATGTCCAGGGAGCAGTACGGAGAATGCATAAGCTACATCTGCTGGCCCTATTCATGAAGCTTGACATCCACAAAGCATTTGACACTGTTAATTGGAGCTATCTTCTGGAAGTCCTTCAAGCTCTGGGGTTTGGGGCGCGTTGGCGCGAATGGATTTCCATCCTGTTCCGCATGGCCTCCTCCTGCGCATTGCTCAATGGACAAAGGGGTCCCACCTTCAACCATGCCAGAGGCGTCCACCAGGGTGACCCCCTCTCCCCCATGTTTTTTATCTTGGCCATGGACCCCCTTCAACGCCTGCTTGACATGGCGACCCACCAAGGAATCTTAACTCCCTTGCCTCCGATAGCAGCCAAATGGAGAACCTCCATGTATGCAGATGACGCGGCAATCTTCATTAACCCAATAAAAGAGGACGTTGAGGCGATCCAAACAATCCTAGAGGCGTTCGGAAATTTCTCGGGCCTTCACATAAACCTGCACAAAAGTTCCATTCATCCGATCAGATGTGAGGAAACAGACCTTGATTGGGTGCTGTCCCCATTCACAGGTACTAGAGGCACCTTCCCTTGCAAATAGTTGAGGTTACAGCTACATGTCAGATCGCTCCAGAAAATCCATGTTCAGCCACTGATTGAACGCATTGGACAACGGCTGCCTGGATGGAAGGGGAGATGGCTAAATAGAGCAGGACGCCTCACGCTCGTCTCCTCAGTCCTCTCTGCCATGCCAACCTATCATCTAACTGTCTTTCCCCTGGCGGCATGGGCAAAAAAGAAAATCGACAAAATCAGGAGATCGTTCCTATGGAAGGGAGAGGAAAAATGCAAATGGAGGACACTGCCTGGTTAATTGGCCAACAGTCACCCGTCTAAAGGATCTTGGTGGGCTTGGCGTGCCCGACCTTGAAAGGTTTGGTCGTGCCCTTCGACTTCGTTGGCTGTGGTAGGATTGGACTGAAGATTCCAAACCTTGGGCTGGAATGGATCTTCCTTGTAATGACATCGATCGTCTCTTGTTCAACTCCTCAACCAGTCTCCCTAGGTGATGGCGCAAAGGCTTGCTTCTGGCATAATAATTGGCTTGATGGAGAGGCTCCCAGATACCTGGCCCCAAACCTCTTCCAACTGGTTTCCAGGAAAAATAGAACAGTGCAACACGAGCTTCGCAACAACAATTGGATACGCTCCTTGAGAAGACTCATTACCACTGCAACCCACATAGAGGAGTTCGTCTCTCTTTGGATCAGGATCCAAGACGTGCACTTGGCCCAAGGCGTCGAGGATTCCATCACCTGGAAATGGACTCCAGATGGTAATTATTCCACCCGCTCAGCTTACCGGATCCAATTCAGAGGCTCCTTCGCAAAATTCCCAAGGGACCACATTTGGAAAGCACAGATGGAAAACAAATGCAAGGTGTTCACCTGGATCCTAATTCATGGAAAAATCCTAACGGCGGATAATTTGCAAAAAAGAGGATGGCCGCACCAGGAACACTGTGTTCTATGCAATGGACCCTTGGAGATCACTCTTCACTTGTGTATATGCTGCCCTTTCGCAAAGGTGGTTTGGAACCAAGTTCTCACTTGGGAGCACTTTGACGGTATATTGGGCCAGCAACAGGAAGACCCACTACAGATTATGCCTTGGTGGGAGAAGGCAGCTAGCAACACGCCTCCGGCTGATCAAAAGAGGTTCAATGGCCTAGTAATATACACATTCTGGAACTTATGGAAAGAGAGGAACAGGCGCATTTTCAATAGCACTTCAGAAACAGTGTGGCAGGTAGCTGCGAGGATCAAAGACGACATTGAACAGAGGAAGAGAGCGTTTGGCTAGGAGGGGTTTCCTTTTCTGAGTGGGCTTCCACCCTTCTGTTGTGCCCACGGGGGCGTGTATTATTTCCTCTACCTGCTTGTACATAAACTTTTTTCCTCCTCTATCTTAATTGAAAGGCAGAGCTCCTGCCAAAGTTTTCAAAAAAAAAAATCTTTAAAAAAAAACAAAAAGGAAGCAGAGATGTTTGTTCTTTGTTAAAAGTTTCATCATCAGTGTGTTTCATTTGCTGAATTCCCTTCTTACTCAACATTAATGACTCAATTCCTTGTTCTCTTTGGGAATGGAATTTCCTAACTTGGCATCATTACATTGACTCAAACATGCATAGTATTTTGCATACATGATACCACTGGTAGATTTCTACTCTTTATTCGGCAATCGGCATAAATAGTTTCATCTTTTAGAAACTAGACATCCCCTACTGTTTTCATGTAAAAGTTAGATAGCGTTTCAAGGTCATGCATCCATGATATGCTACTCAATTTTTAATGTTTATTTTCTTGAATGCAAGAGTTTGTACATTGCAGATACTTTGATTTGCCACTTATATCTAGCGAGAGTGGCCAAATTGAACTTATTAGCTTATGTTGTATTGTAGGGTCAAGAAGAAGGCAATCAGCTAGATTTTTCTCTTGCCCCAGTAACACCCTGTTCTCGTGGGAAGCATGAGTTTATTATTGATGATCAAATAGGGATCAGATGCAAATACTGTTCCTTAGTAAACCTGGAGATCAAATTCATGTTTCCATCATTGGTAAGCTTTCTTATGGCCACAAGTCATGGCATCCTTTCTACAGTACAAGCTTCTAAATCTGGTCATTTAACTCATCTTTTCTTCCAGGTCTCAGGCTTTGCCGAGAAATCTGCATGGCCAAATGCCAAAGGTGTGAAGGATACATTGGTGTTTCATGATCTTTATGAACAAGCAGGCAGTGACATTGAACAATCTCAAGATCTTCATCAATATGGAACGGTGTGGAATCTTATTCCAGGGGTCATCAGTACTATGTATGAGCATCAGCGTGAAGCATTTGAATTTATGTGGACAAATTTAGTTGGTGATATTAGGCTTGATGAGCTAAAGCATGGAGCAAAACCTGATGTTGTTGGTGGATGTGTGATCTGTCATGCTCCAGGAACAGGAAAGACACGATTAGCTATTGTATTTATCCAGACATACATGAAAGTATTTCCAGACTGCCGGCCAGTGATTATTGCACCACGTGGGATGCTCTTTGCTTGGGATGAGGAGTTTAAGAAATGGAATGTTGATGTTCCTTTTCATATAATGAACACAACTGATTACACTGGAAAAGAGGACCGGGACATATGCAAGTTAATAAAGAAAGAACACAGGACGGAAAAGTTGACAAGACTAGTGAAACTGCTTTCATGGAACAAAGGCCATGGTATTCTTGGAATAAGTTATGGCCTGTACACAAAACTGACATCTGAAAAACCTGGCTGCACAGAAGAAAACAAAGTAAGAAGCATTCTTCTTGATAACCCTGGCTTACTTGTTCTTGATGAAGGACACACACCTAGGAATGAGCGTAGTGTTATGTGGAAAACTCTAGGAAAAGTGAAAACTGAGAAGCGTATAATTTTATCTGGAACTCCTTTTCAGAACAATTTTCTTGAGCTTTACAACATTCTTTGTCTGGTAAGGCCTAGGTTTGGTGAAATGTTTTTGACGAAAGGAAGAGTGGGTCGAAGGCACTATGTCTCAAAGAAGCAAAAGGATAGGTTTTCTGATAAATATGAAAAAGGAGTTTGGGCTTCACTAACTAGCAACGTAACTGATGATAATGCAGAGAAAGTAAGATCAATATTGAAACCATTTGTTCATATACATAATGGTAATATTCTTCGAACTCTTCCAGGGCTCAGAGAGAGTGTGATTATTCTGAAGCCTCTTCCCCTTCAAAAGAGTATCATTAGAAAGGTGGAAAACATTGGTTCTGGTAACAACTTTGAACATGAATATGTCATTTCTTTAGCTTCTACACACCCTTCCCTTGTAACCGCCATTAACATGTCTGAGGAGGAAGCTTCACTTATTGATAAACCTATGCTTGGAAAATTGAGATCAAATCCCTATGAAGGGGTAAAAACAAGATTTGTAATGGAAGTTGTTCGTTTGTGTGAAGCATTAAGAGAGAAGGTTTTGATTTTTAGCCAATATATCCAGCCTCTAGAGTTGATAAAAGAGCATCTTCGCAAGTTCTTTAAATGGAGAGAAGGGAAAGAAATTCTTCAAATGGATGGAAAGATCCTTCCAAGATATCGCCAGGCTTCCATTGAAGCCTTCAATAATCCAAATAATGAATCCAGGGTGTTACTTGCATCTACAAGAGCATGCTGTGAAGGGATTAGCTTGACAGGTGCTTCAAGAGTTGTGCTTCTAGATGTTGTTTGGAACCCAGCTGTTGGAAGGCAAGCCATCAGCAGAGCATTTAGGATAGGTCAGAAGAAATTTGTATATACATATAATTTGATAACTTATGGAACAGGTGAAGGTGACAAATATGACAGACAAGCAGAAAAGCATCACTTATCCAAGTTGGTCTTCTCTACAGAAGACGAGTTCAATAATGTTAGGAACATGCTATCTAAAGCTGAAATGGAGCACTGTTCTAAGTTGATTTCAGAAGATAAAGTTTTGGAGGAGATGACTTCCCACGATCAACTTAAAGGAATGTTTTTGAAGATCCATTATCCACCAACCGAGTCAAACATTGTCTATACTTACAATCAAATTACTCCTGAGTGAAGTCGATGGTAATCGTCAGCACCACATTGTTTTAGTCTATATCTATGGTATGCTCATAACTTCTGACTTCTTCTTCCTATAGATGTTGTAGGTTTACATTAGTTCTGTTATTGCAAGCACTATCTTATATTTTGTTTTCTACCTGATTGTCGCCGTATCTTGTATATGTAGTGTTTGTGAACCAAATTATTTATGAGAGGTTAATGCCTTGCTATCTTGATAATTTGGTTGTCATATCGACATCTCCTATTTTCTATGTTGATTTTATGTTTCGGGACATAGCATGAAGCAATAATTTTGTCCTCTCCTACTAAACTGCTTCATTTTGATTTTGCTTGTCATCCTATTTGACTACTTGTAAAGTTGGAGCTCTCTCGGCATTTGCATTAAAGCTAACTTTATGTTGCCATCATACACACATGCAGTTATGCATGCTATCGGGTTTAGTGTTGTTTATTGTTTTGTTACAAACTAAGTAAATGTTTAAAATTGCGTTGTCTTTGACTGACTTGCGTTTTCCCAAATGTTTTCCTGCAGGCTAGGCATGCACAGGAGGATCCCCTGCAGGCTTCTTTTTCTTTATTATTGTGTAACGCACAATGAATCTGCAAGTGTATCTTGGAGAGGACTAAAAGCAGAAGTTAATAATGGGTGGTAGAGCCTCAATGTATTTGGTGGTTCACAAGGTTGTGGGCCTTTTGAAGTTCATGCCTATATCCAAATGTGATGTATAATAATACCATTGGACCTTTTCAGCGGTTCAATTTTATTTAAATAAAAGACTGCCTTGTTATTAAAGGAGGTAAGGTGATGGGACCGAATGGTATGTTAATCGAGGTGTGGAGATGTCTCGGGGATATAGCTATAGTATGGTTAACCAAGCTGATCAATCATATTTTTCGATCGAACAAGATGCTTGACGAGTGGAGGAGAAATATATTGGTACCGATCTACAAGAATAAAGGAGATATTTAAAGTTATGCTAATTACCGGGGAATTAGGTTGATGAGCCATACTATGAAGCTATGGAAGAGAGTTATCGAGAATCGCTTGAGAGTAATAACGCGGGTCTCTATGAACTAATTATGATAAAATACCAAGGAATGTTATGTGGTGGGCTTTGGACAAACATAAAGTCCCAACGAAGTATGTCGGGCTCATTAAGGACATGTACAACAATATTGTGACTAGTGTTCGAACAAGTGATGGAGATATGGATGACTTTTCGATTAAGATAGGACTGCATCAAGGGTCAGCTTTGAGCCCTTATCTGTTTGTCTTAGTGATGGATGAGGTCACAAGGGACATCCAATGGAACATCTCTTGGTGTATGCTTTTCGCGAACGATGTAGTGCTAGTTGATGAAAGCAGGACAGGAGTGAATCAGAAACTGGAGTTATGGCGTGAGATTTTGGAGTCCAAAGGTTTTAGACTCAGTAGAATTAAAACTGAATATATGAAATGTGACTTCGGCACTACTACTCGAGAGAAGGAAGATATTAGTTTGGAAGGTCAAGTAGTACCTAGGAAGGATACATTTTGATATTTAGGATCAATGCTACAGAGAGACGGAGATATTGATAAAGATGTTAGCCATAGAATCAAAGTAGGGTGGATGAAGTGGCGCCAAGCATTTGGTGTCCTATGTGACAAAAGGGTACCACAGAAGCTAAGAGGCAAGTTTTATAGGACGACGATTAGACCTGCTATGTTGTATGGCGCAGAATGTTGGCATACGAAAAGACGACATGTTCAACAGATAAATGTCGCAGAAATGCGTATGTTGCATTGGATTTGCGGTCATACAAGAAGGGATCGAGTTCGGAACGATGATATACATGATAGATTAGGGGTAGCATCAATTGAAGAAAAGCTTGTCCAACACCGGTTGAGATGGTTTTGACTTGTCCAACAGAGACCTCCAGAGACACCGGTGCGTAGTGGAATCCTAAGCTAGGATAGTAACGTGAAGAGAGGCAGAGGAAGATCGAAGTTGGCTTGATAGAGACAATAAAATGAGACTTGAAAGGATGTAATATATTCAAAGACTTAGCCTTAGATAGGAGTGCTTGGAAAACAGTTATTCACGTGTCTGAACCTTGATTGCTTCTGCTGACATTCAGCTTTAGCTTACCTCAACTTATTTGGGACTTAAAGGCTTTGTTGTTGTTGTTGAAAAGACTGCCTCAATTCGAATACACGGATGCTGCCTCCTTTCGGCATTTTGGGTGTTCCACTTTCATTTTGTGTTATTATTATTATACATGCCACCATGAAACTACCAACCGTAGTCCTCTTGTGAAGTAGACTGGTACATGTGTGCACTTTTTTTGAAGTTTCTCTACTACAAATATGTTATTTATAGATCATATGCTCTCATGGTACAAGGAATACTGAAAAATGGCATCCTGCCTTCTTACCAACAGTATGCTCTCCTCAGGGCGTCCGATGCTCTGGATGCGTCCTTCATGGGCCTATGGAGCCCAATACGAAGCTTGCTCTCGGCTTCTCCATAATAAAAAAATATTGATTCCCCATTCCTCCCTGTTGTGGCCTTCTTTCACCGTGAGCATGCATCTTCCGTGGCCGACTCCACCATGTCACCCGCCCGCTGCGCACCTTCCTAGCGCGGGGGACGCTCACCGTGGGCAGCGCCATAGCAACCATCATGGAGCCCCGCAGCCACCCGACCGCTGGCATCCCCCCTCCCTCCCTCCCCACCCCCCCCCCACCCCACTCCATAGCATCAAGCTCTGCGCCAGCCTCGAGCTATGCTACGTTGAAAGCGTATGTTGCAAGAGTATATTTTAAGCGTTTTAGATATTTCAGAAGTATGTTGCAAGTGTTGTATATTGATGTTACAAAAGTAGATTGGGATGTTGCACATGTTATAATGACTATACACGTATATTTCAAATGTATGTTCCAAATGTTTCATCTATTCTAGACATATGTTATAAGTGTTTTATCTAGATGTTGTAAAAGTAGATCTGGATGTTGCATATACATATACATTGCAAGCATATGTTTCAAGTGTTTCATACGTATGTTGCAAGTGTTTCATCTAGATGTATGTTTGCAATGGTTTTCAAGTGTTTTCAGGCGTTTTTGCAAGTGTTCTAGACACTTGTTTCAAGTGTTTCATCTGTCTTCTTTTGTATGTTGCAACTGTTGTATCTGAATGTTTTAAAAGTAGCTTGGGTGTTGCATATGGGATGCGCATGGGAAGCGGCTAGCAGCGCCGCGATGTCCGGAGTGGCATGGGCCCGTTGATGGGGCGCTCGCTCGCGAGCCCGACATGCTAGGGTGCTCGCTCGCTCGCTGTGCGGGCCACGTCCGGACGCTAGTGCCCCGGATCGAACGTTCGGGCACTGGCAAGTTCATATCAGAAGAGGAAATATTCTTGTCATGTTTGTCTTGTCAAACTACGCACCTCAAAGTTTTATTTTACTTTGCCTTTTTTGGTGAAATACCCGGTGAGATTATGTTTGTTGCAAGGGCGAGGTGTCTTACCTAAACGGTCAAGATTGTCAGCCTAGGCAATCGGTTTTAACTAACTATTCGGTTTGGTTTCGTCGGTTTCTACAAACTTTGGTTTTCCAGAATCTAACCGATTGGTTTGTCTCAGAAGAAGAATCGACGAGTTCGGTGTCTGGTTTCTCGGTTCGGTTTTTGGTTTGAACCGAGCAAACCGATTGACATAGAGAGAGAGAGAGAGAGGGAGAAATAGAACTACGCGACGAGGCCTGAGGAGCTGCGCTGCGCCGCCAGTCTGCCACCACCGCGTGGACGCCGCTCTCGCCAGCCGCCCCAACCCCGTCCCTGCAGCGCGCGGGCACGCTCCCACCGACCACTACCAAAGAGCCTCCTGCAGGCCGCCTTGTAGTCGCGCCCGCAGGCCGCCTCCTCCTGCTCGCCGCCGCTTTCCCATGCTCGCTGCTCGCGGTCACGGTAGCGCCGCCTGCTCGCGCAGTCACGCCGTCGCACCGCACAGTCGCGTACTCCCTCTCTTCACCGCACGCTGGATTGGATAGGGTTTCAGTGTGTGTTGGGCTGATCGGCTGAGGCAGTGGGGGCTTAGGGCCTGTTTGGTAGAGCTCCATCTGATTCTGATGGTTTAAGGAAGCTGATTCTCTTTGATTTTTTAGCATAAACTCTTGAAATCATGATGGAGAATCACTTCACAGAATCAGGAGAAGCTACTTTTTTCAGCTCTCAGCCATCTAGTTTATTTCAGAGAATCACTTCACGGAATCAGTAGAGAATCACTTCTCTCTGAAAAACTGTTTGGCAGAGCTCCTGCTGGATTCAACAGAGAATCAGCTCTGGGAGCTCTGCCAAATGGGGCCTTACGTGTGCGCATTGGTCATGGGCCATTGGGCTGCTACTATCTGGAGAAGAGGGATACGGCTATGCTCTGCTCTTGAGGATCAGTTCCTTCGGGTGTTCAGTTCTCAGGACCCTAAAACCGAAGCCGAGAACCGTAGCTGAACTTCCCAAGTATAAAAACCAAAACCAAACCGAAGAACAGAAAAACCGACACTTCGGTTCAGTTCGGTTCGGGTCGGGTTTTGGTTTTTAGGTTAAATGTGCCTAGTCTGACAAGATTGTACAGCTAGACTATACCAAGTGTATAATCTTTCAAACTTGAAAATGCAGAAGTACCATTATGAAGATGGTCATCAGTAGTTTGTAGATGAACTTTTATTATGCTCGGGTTCAACCATTCAGCATGTGGTCCAATCAGGTAATATGATAACCAAGCTATCCCAGTCCATGTTGTTCATGTTTAACATCAAAATATGCTGCAATTTTGTGCAAGACTCGAACTGGGCCACTTATATGGTAACCAATGCTTCAGTCATGTTCATGTGAAGATCATCTTTTGCCGAACATCATTATTGCACTAGTTTTGGAGTTGGAAAAAGGTACAAAGAAAATGTTGAATTTTCTTCCTTCGTGTGTACGGAGTATTATGTATTTGGGAGTTCTACTGGGGA